TATGACGATATTTCCAAAAGGTAATATTTCGATACATTATGTTTTTCTCTACAGATAGTGTCATATCTCTTCTTTTTAATATATTATACTAACGATAAGCTCATGATCCTTACCTTATATTATGTAATTGTATAGTTTCACACGGTGGAACAGATGAAATAGATTTCAATGTACAAATGGCGTTTCAAGTTTTTTTCTGGCTCTTTGACTTTTTGGCTTTGGGTCGCGAGAATGTTTCTTATTGCTCTCAAATCAGCACGCTGACGTCTTACTGTGCTCGATACATTTATTTCGTCCTGAAGTCTTAATGAATCTCTTTAATTTGGATAGAGACAAAGACATAAGAATCCTCTTGATGATATCCAAAAGCAAGTATAAAGAAAGATAAATATATTAATAGTTTTGTAGTAAATTAATCTGAATTAACTTATAATTATTTTGAGTAAGAACCAGGTTAAACCAGTTTAGTTGTTAAAGGTCGGTTAAAGGAACACTTTCCATTTTGGAAATCTATAGGTTGTTATTACTTTATTTTAGATACTATTATACAAGCCGAGGCTATTAAATACCTTATTAAACGACACCTCTATCAACGTATTTACCTGATAATCGTTCAGCTATGCGATACAGTGAATTCGTTTTTAGAAGCAATCAGTAATGTTTTAGTCAGAGTTTATATTGTAGAATGTTATAATATTCAAAGCAGCGACAAGAAAATACTTATTTTTGATTTTCTTCATAATAACCATGATCATTTATGGAAAACTGGTATAAGACTTGAATTATTCGTCTTGTTATGTATCATACAAAATTCATGTTTTCTGCTTCAAGCTCAAAATTTACGCAGCATATCATCATATTTACCAGTATAAATCACAAACTAAATACTATTTTTTTTTTGGGGGGGGGGGGGGGGGGGGGGGGCGACAAAAAAGATACTTTATTTTTTAGTTTTGCCTTTTTATTCGTGTTCTGTGTGATATATTATTTAGATGATTACTTGATCATTGACTATGAAGAAAAAGGGGGCGGAAAACAAGATTTGTCTTAAAATTTCTATAAGGTAAAGCAAGATTTGAGTAACAGCGGTTTTTTGCTCAAGCTAGCAAAGTCGATGTTGCAGGCTGTTAGACATCTATTTTTATGATAATATTATTGAAAGCACTTTAAAGTTTAATATCTGATGAATTTTCTAAATTATTTAAAACTATTCAATATATCAAATCAACTTTCACGTTTGTGCACGTTTTACATCTGTATTAAAATATCAGAGAAGAGTACTATCATTTTTAAAAGATTAAATTTTGATTTTTCATGTTATATCATTGTTTATAATGATGCAGGTCAAACAGGGTATAAAGATTCCATTAATAAGAAAGTATTGCAGATTGTTCGAAGTGCAAAATAGGTCCACGTGGAAGGATATCACAGCGGAAACGAATATACTGTTATCCTATCTTGATTTTGATAAGGACAAGCGACTTAAATGGTTTACAGATAATCAATATGTCGCAAGTCTTGTAACGAAGGGCAGAGAAAAGGGCCATTTATAAGACATTTCTCATTATATTTATCAACATTGTTTGAAATATAATATTACATTTGCTGTTGAATTGATTTCGATAACACAGAACAAAAAGGCAAATTTTATTATCCGTATCAGAGACATATAATACTGTATTTTATCGGTAATTTCTACATTTTCCCTTTGATCGTATTGCCTAATATTTTTAAGATCATGCACAAGACTTGATACTCGAAAATACTAGGCAATGACATCTTGTATCAATGCAGCAACGTCACGTGCTCAAGTCCATCTGCGTCAATTTATCAATGAAATGTACGCGACTTCATTCATACAACCGACCAACTATCCCAATGTTTTGTCCGCGTAAAAGTAGTTTTACTAACTATTTCATTCTACTTCATATTCTCAAACAATAAAAAACATACAGTTATTACAAATTGCCGATAAAAAGAATAATGACATTTTATTGTTTGATACTGACTTCATCAGCTCGAATATCAGCTCGCCCTAGCGGGATCGCTTGCTATTCTTGCTGATAAGATCAACAATGCCATTATTTTATATCTGTATATATATGTTTGTGTCTGTATCATAAATGCTGGTGATTCCAGTATCAGTGACTATGCATTTTTGTTATCAAATTTACGACGGGAACCTCATGAAATTGATAGGTTCGCAAATGACCATAACCTTAGTATTCTATATTTAATATCGAAGTGTCAGTTCTATCAGAATTGATACATTCACTGTCGATAACTCTGATATAAACGGTTGTTTATCCAATGGACTAGGTAAAGAAAATGAAAAATACTGGGCAGTTTTGCTGTTAATGTGGTTTAATGAAAAAATGTTATCCCATAGAAGATATTTACTTTTTAAATTCAGAACTGTTAATTTTAGGTTCAAACTCATATCAATTCCTGATAATATCAACATTTGTTAATATACAACGCGAAATTTATTCACTTTTAAATAAATTAAATATTAAATAGTAAAACTACTGTTAATAAATTACATCAAATTTTAGAGGATTGCAACACAATTCCATATTGTCGTCTTAAGTATGAAATTATCCAAATTATAATTGCATATTGTTATTCTAAACTGTTTCCCAAAATTGATCGCCCTAAAGATCATAAAAAAAAACATTTTATTAAAATCAAATATGTCAATAAAGGTTTTGATTTTGTAAATATTGCCGGTATTATTACATTGTTTTAATGATCATTCCATAGAAAATAGAATTCCTGGCTATTTTGATAATACTGAGCTCCCTCTTTTTTGTTATGTTAACAAAAAATCTACCCGGAAATATGTGTTTAATTATAGCTAAATGTGTAAAGATGTTAATATCAGTGACAATACACCTACGTCATGAAATTGCAGTAATTCCGAATACGTTTATGGCCCCAGTTCCCATGTTAAAACAGAAGACCGTAACATCGTCCATCACCGAGAGTTGAAATCATTCCTCAGTAAAAGACCTTAATATCGTCCCCCCCACGTCAATTATTAATTGGAATGAGTGTTGTAACATCATCCACGACTCACTCCGTACTTACTGCACTAAAATGGTTAAAATGAGTAATTCAAGAGCACCTTGTCCTCAATTCCATTGATCGTTTTAAAAAGGAACCTCTTTGTATCGATATGATAAGTTATAATAAAAATAAGGAGATGTGGTATGATTGCCAATGAGACAACTTTACACCAAAGTTCAATTGAAGTGGCTGTAAGCATTTATAGGCAACCAGTACAGTCGGCTATAAAAGGCCCCGACAAGAAAAATATGAAACAATTCAATTGAAAAAACTAAATCCGGGCTGAAGTACGTCCATTATTCATTTTTCATTTTTCAAATTCAATAATGAATAATAAAATAGTTCATTCTTCATTATTCAACATTTAGTAATGAATGATGAAATAGTTTATATTTCAGTATTCAAGTTGAACAGTGAATAATAAAATAGATCATTTATTATGTGACTGTGATACTATACCGTACGTATTTCTGAATTCGCCATTTTTGATGTCAATTAACATATATTAAAATTAATATAAGGGAAAAAAAATAATTCAAAATACTCTTTGGAATTTTTATCTTCTTATTTTTATTTATTCATTTAGTTTCGGAGGATAAACTAGTGGGTTTCCTTAACTATTTTTAACAGAAATTCCGTTTTAATGTATAGAGGACCTGAATATCAAAACATATATAGAAATTAGAATACTATCCATTTAATATTTTGATTTTTGATTAAAACTACTGCTACCCTTCAACCCCTGATTACAGATCTAACTTGTCGATTGCACCACAAGGCCGATCAGAGGGGTTATGGAGGACCTAAATACTAAAATATGCGTGAACATTAAGAAATTGCCTATTTTGAATAATGGAATGGACTGCTGCGACCCTTTAGCTTCTAATAAGAGAGAAACCTTATACATCATTCGAACGCTAATTAATAGAGGAACAAAGGTTATATAATCAATGTGTGCCGCAATGCCGACTAGAGGGGTTACGGAGGACCTAAATGCCAAAATACACGTGAACATTAAGAAATAGCCTATTTTGAACAATGGAATGGACTGCTGCGACCCTTTGGCCTCTAATAAGAGAGAAACCTTATACGTCATTCGAAAGCTATTCAATAGAGGAACAACAGGTATATAATCAATGTGTTCCGCAATGCCGATTAGAAGGGTTACGGAGGACCTAAATGCCAACATAGGAGTGAACATTAAGAAATAGCCTTTTTTGAATAATGGAATGGACAGCTGATACATGAATTAGGTATTGACAATGATTGTTGTGCTGCTCAATTTGTTTTTGTAGTGTAGTGTGTCATGAAATGTTCTTTGTATCATTCTTTTATTCTTTTGACCATAATTTCGCCTGTTCTTCTTCTACTTGTGCACTTTGATTTACACGCGTAGTATGTCACCCCCTTTTTACTTAATTGATGTTTGTTGTGGCGTTATGAAGTAAGGAAAACAAGAGGTGGAAGATACCAAGAGGAAGAATCGAAACTCATACATGAAAGTCGAAGAAAGACCGACAAAAATAATGTTATTGATAACAGTTTAGAATTGAATAGGCCTAGTTAGTGCCCATCATACTAATATTTAAGCAAATAACAAATTAAAGACAAATAGAAGAATCGATCATACCGCCAAAGGAATCAGAGCGATGCAAGATGAACATAATACCAAATCTCTCTATATCTAAGTCGATTTAGGGTGCGAATCCAAAAGAGTAAATAATCATATGAAGAGCTAAAAAAAAAAACGTTTGAAAGTACAAAAATTATTTAGGTGCAAAACAATTGTTTTTATACATTACGTAATATTGTATTACTGTAAACTGAATGTGCTCATTCATCTTAGATCAAATAGCTGTATGAATCCTGTGACAAATGACTAACATCATAGGTTTAAATGAATTATTGATGCCTATGTTAAGTTGTATATATTCATTTGCGACAGAGGGGGAACGAGACGTGCATCGAATACACATTATATCTCTTTGTTTTTGTGAAAAGAAGAAAAAATGAAATCCAGCGACATCATGTGTATTGCTTTTTTTCTCGCCGTTATGTGCGAAACATGTAAGTTAAATCTATTACTAATTGTATGTAGTATGAATTTCCTTTTTAAGGTCAAGTTACAGTAAAGGGTTTTTTTCGCAGATTTTGGTGAAATTTGGCACACAACTTTGGCTCGTTGAACTATAATAAAAAATCGAAAAAAATAATGCATTTCTCTCTTTTATCTGAAATACTATTGATTGAATTCATTCAAAATAGGCGAACATTTGTATGGAAAGCAAATTAAAATTGGGTAAAAACTTTCTTAAATTTGTCTTAAAATTATAAAATCTCAAATTCAAGTCCATAGATTTTTATTCAAAAACTATATGTTGTTGATACATAAATTTGCGTTTTAATGATGTAAAATAATAATAGAGTTACCGACCTCCATTTCAAGGTATTCATCATTCATTCATAGTTCTAAGTGACAAAATACAAAACAAAAAAGACGTCAATAATAAGCGTAACGTCATTGCGTTGTAGGCGGTAAAAAGTCAATTTTTGCACAATTGTGGCGCTCTAAAACATGTTGTGTGTGCCTGTTCCACGTTAAGCAGCCATCTATGCTCATGATCATGATCTCTTTTAGTGGTATAAACATGCTAACTTTCTGTTAAATCATATTATTAGTAAATATGAGTAATAAGACATCTATGTTTTGCTTTTTGAATCATTTGAAAATATTGTTGGAATTCTATTATGATATCTTCTTATCAATGTTTTAAATCATCAACAGAAATCAATGTAAGTACCGATAGAGACAACTCCAAAGAACTAATGACATTGTTAAAGTGATACAAATGTAGTATCCTGAATATTTCATAGTTATAAGTTTACATGGATCGTATCCAAATTTACGGGTTCTATTAACAACTGAATCGTTGTATCCTACTTGTAAATATATTTCTGCAGTACCTGCTACTATATTTACTTCCGAATTGCCAAACTAAATGTTTGTATCTATGACAAAAGTTTGAAAATTTGTTAAATAATTTGTAGAAGAGATATCCCTGACTTTATAATTTACCAGTTAGATGTAGATTAATATCAGTGCAATTTAAAATGTCATTACAGACTAAGGCATAGCGAACGAGTTTGGAAACAAACAAATTATGAGAAGGGACCAAATAAATATAAGAAAGCACCCAAAAAGAAAAATTAGCATAAGGGAACGAACAATCGTTTCTTTTGTAGATAATGAAATTACCAAATCTAGAAAAAGGAAAATCATTGCCGTTATATAAGGGCCGTATTTAAAGCCGTTTGCATGATGTCAATACCTGCATTATGATTTGTATTTTTTTTAAGTGTTATTAACTGTTTCAATCAAATTGATTTTGACTGATCTCAACTGAATTGTTCCACAAGCTAGCTGTGATTGGCAGTACAGGAACACATCTGCTCATAAAGGGTGCTCATATGATTACCTTTAACAAGTTCTAATCATATCATCACAATTTTAGGAAGTATATTTAGCATATCTACAATTTTCAGAACAAAAAAGCTTTATATAAGTCTCATCAAAATCATGTCCAATCACATTTTTCAAAGAACTTTTAATTAAATAGTAAAACTAAAGTTAATAAATTGTTTCAAACTTTAGAGGATTACAACACAATTCCATATTGCAGTCCTAAGTATGAAATCGTCCAAATTATGATTGCATAATTTGACATTAAATTGTTTCCCAAAATTGATCGCCCTCAAGATCACATTTTTTTTTATTAAAATCAAATATGTCAATAAAGGTTTTGATTTTGTAAATATTGCCGGTATTTTTAATGATCATTCCGTTAAAAAACAAATTCCTGGGTATTTTGATAATACTGAGCTCCCTCTTATTTGTTATTATGTTTACAAAATATCTATCAGGAAATATGTGTTTAATTATAGCGAAGTGTGTAAAGATGTTAATATCAGTGACACTACACCTACGTCATTAAATTGTAGTAATTCCGAATACATTTATGGCCCCAGTTCCCATGTTATGACAGAAGACCTAAACATCGTCCATGACCGAGAGTTGAAATCATTCCTTAGTAAAGGACCTAAATACCCCCCCCCCCCCGTCATTATTAATTGGAATGAGTGTCGTAACATCATCCACGACTCTCTCCGAAATTACTGCACGAAATTAATAAAACGAGAAAAAGCTGACAAACAATCCATAGATTCTTTTTTTAATTCAGTAATGAACATAGTTGATATTCGTATTAAACATTTTAAAGAACATTTAACTCTTAACAACAACCATACTAGCCCTATTTATCGTATCAAACATAAGCTAAAAGAACTCGTCAAGGAATTTGTTTTTGTCCCGGCTGATAAGGCTGCCAATAAGATCATTATTGTTTGACGTAAATTTTACATTGAGGTTCTGCAAAAGTAAATCACGAATTCAACAACATTCCAATTGACTCCATTTTTGGAAAATGGCATCAGTAACAAACATAAATTTTTAGCTACTTCTTTAACAGCAGAACCAAATACAATGAAAGTTCCAACTATGTACTGGCTTCCGAAGCTGCACATAACACCTAACAAATATAGATTTTCGTCTTCAAGCCATTGTTCCACTATTAAACTGTCTATTCTACTTTCTAGTTCGCTTGGTACAATCAAAAACCTGGTAATAAATTGTTCAAATAAGGCCTTTGAAAATAGTGGAATTAATCACTTTTGGAGTGTCAAAAATCGTTGGAAGTACTTGATAAATTGCATACTTATATTTGTGATTTCGTATCTGTTCAAAGTTTTAATTTTTCTACCCTATATACCACTTTGCCTCATAATCTCATTAAGAAAAAAAATCATACACCTAATCAAATGGGCATTTAAAAAGTCAGAATGCGAATATATATGTTCAAATTCTTTTAGGTCATTTTTCAGTAACAACAAACAAAAGAACTATGTCAATTGGACCTGCTTTGATACGAGAACTGCACTTTAATTGTTTTCTCAGATAACATTTGTGTTCGCTATCGAGATTCCGTATATCGTCAAGTTATCGGAATTCCAATGGGGACCTACTGTGCACCACTTATTGTGGATCTGTTTCTCAATTGTTATGAGTTACAATTTATGACTAAACTCAGCAAAGACCCATCGAAACAACATCTGATATAACAATTATAACACTATAGATATTTGGATACTATATAGGTTCCCAATAATGACGACTTCAGTATGTACACTAATGAGATTTATCCTGCGGAACTAACTTTAAATAAAGCTAATACTAACAATAAACACTACCCTTTCCTTGATCTTGATATCTATTTCTTTAACGGGAAGCTTAATACTAAAATTTACGATAAAAGAGATGATTTTTCATTTCATATTGTAAATTATCCATTTTTAGATGGTTACGTTCCCTTGTCACCATCTTATGGTGTTTATTTATCTCAACTTGTTCGATTCGCTCGTGAATGTAACAACGTATTTGCTTTTAACGAAATAAATCTCTGTATTACTGAAACATTATTACACCAGGGTTTTCGATATCACAAACTAGTCAAAATATTTATTAAATTTTATCATCGGTACAAGGACATAATTCGTAAATATAAATCAACATGCAGACATCTTATACGTTCAGGTATTTCACATCCAATTTTTTATTGTAATCTTCTATACAAAGCACAACAATGTCGTAGTTCACTTTAAAAACTTACCAAACCTTTAAACAGACTTATTCAGAAGGGATATAGTTACGATACTGTTGTCAGGTCATTAAAGATGGCATGTTTTGGAATTAATTTTGATTCACTCATTGGGTCTTTGCATCGGAAATAAACAAATTTATTCTAAAACCAGTTGTTTATGTTCTTCTCATATTATTTTATGATGGGATGAGAGTAAACCCCTAACGGGAGGGATTGTGCTTGATTTTAATATGATGAAGACATAATCTTTCAATCAGTTTAATTTAGATTTGGATCTGTCATGTCAGTAACTGCTAGTAGTCCTTTGTTAATTTATGTATCATTGTCATTTTGCTTAGTTTCTTCTGTTACCTATTCTGACATCGGACTAGGACTTCTTTTAAACTGAGTTTAAATGTGTGTATTGCTGTGTGTTTGTTTATTCTACATTGGCTAGAGGTATAGGGGGAGGGTTTAGATCTCACAAAACATGTTTAACCCCGTCGCATTTTTTGCGCCTCTCCCAAGTCAGGAGCCTCTGGCCTTTGTTTTTTAATTTTAGTTCATTTATATGTTTCGGAGTTTAGTGTGACGTCCACGGTTTTGTTTAGAGCCAGCTGAAGCCCGCCTTCGGGTGCGGGATTTTCTCTCTGTGTTGGAGACCCATTGGTTGCCTTAAGCTGTTTTCTGGCCTTTGGTCGGGTTGTTGTCTCTTTGACAAATTCCCCATTTTCATTCTCAATTTTACTTTTTGTCAATGATGAGATTGTATAGACGTGTAATATAGAGTCATAACTATAAACTGATTTGAAAAGACCATCAAAAACACGAAATTCTTGTAAAATATTTAAACATTTAAATGATGTTTTACATTCCAAAAAAAATCAGTTCGATTTCTTTCATATGCTTTATTTCACAAGTAATAATAACAGATTTAATTGTAGAAGTTGAAATTGTTACAAAGACAAATAGATACATAGTAAAACATTGACTAAAAGGCAAGATGAAACGAATTTTGACGAGTTATTGTGTGTTTTTTCTGCAAAGCTATAGGTGTATAATTTCCCTCATCAAACCTCCATTCACATACTTCCCATATTATTTTTTTAAACTTTAGTTTGTCCTTTCGTGTATTATATATTTTGAAATAAAAAGTGTTTACACCTTGTTTTCCTGATCAGAGACACTTTGTTAACTGAATGAATTGTGTAAACCTTTCATGTTACAGGTTATTCAGGAACCAGTTGTTTGAGGAGTGAAGGAATTTGTACGAAAAGCTATTGTCCAAAGGGGTATTTTGAGGACCATTTGCCACACGAAGAATGTTGTTCTACTAAAAGAATTTGTCTTCCCTTGAGGCATCAAAAGCCATCC